TGGGCAACTGCCCTGTTGATCTCGGATGCTTTTTCAAGACCCTGGCCGCTTACCACCACCCATGTAGAGTCGCGAACCCCCCTACACCCTCACGTTTCATCGCTTTTCATCTGACCTCATCATGGACCCGGAGAGGCTACCGGTAAACGAGAGCTGCATTCCGAGGTTGCGTCGATGCTACCAAGCGACATTGAGGTAGAAACAGGGCGCGGGGCGCGGTTATGGCTGCGGCGTGGGTTCTCTTTAATCTCCTACCCATAATGCAGCACGCCCTTAGTCCAACTCTCTTATAGCGACACATTCACCGTGTTGCGAAGTCGTAACATGCCAGATCCATGAATCGCTCCACGAGGCCCAGCACCGCCATCAGATACAGTGGGCTGCGCTACAGACTTCCCTTGCCGATATCTGACCGAGGCGTAGTCCCCAAATGTTTGTTGCCCCGAGGCCCCAGGCTGGAACTGCCATGGCGGATAGGAGGTTAAAAAGGAAAGGGACATGGGGACAAAACGGGACGCTTCCTGGAATACCGCCGCGCCGCTACAGAACCATCGTCGCGTCATGCCCCGGTAAAGCACCGTGTCGCCCGCGCGCTCGATTAGAGCTACAACCTCCGCGAAACTGTATACCTCGCGTGCAATTAGACTTAGATTTCCATTGGCCGGCTTCGAAATGCGATGCGAACCATACGGCAACACCGAGATCTCCATGGCCACTGTTGTCATCAAGGCCATGAGACTTTGCAAGCCAGGGGGCTGGCTCTATAGCTGCTCGCTTCGAGTGGTGTGGACCCCGGAGAGTCGTGAAACGAGTCATCCACCCTTGCGAACCGTAGCTGTTCGAACGACCTGCGACCATTCATTCCGCATCATGCTCCTTCATCCCGACGCCACCAACGGGAGCTTCCTTTCCAAAGGATTTGATCTTCAATAGGATCCCCTGGATAAGACAGGCTGCACGCTCGCTCACAGATCCTGGACTCTATTGGCTCGCCTGTGTCCAGCCGGCTTTCTTTCCTTTGTTTGTGATGAAGCGACATTGCGGCACATCTATTGCAGGAACTTGAGCAAGGCTAGGAGAAGAAAAATCAAGAAAGTGGCATATATTCAGCATCTAAAGCAAACCTAAGCAACAAAGTTTTGGACTATCTGGTTTCAGGCGGCCAGGTTGCAAGGCTGTTTTGCGGGGTACCAATCAAACCCGACTGTCGACAGACTGTCCTGTTGCCACCATCGCGCGCACTCTTGTCGACTTTTTGCTCATCCTGTTCGTGGCTGCAACCCAGGTGAACGACAAGCGATCAGACAACCTCCATGACTTGCTTTCGCCCCCCTTAATGTGGACCCTTGCGGCGCCCCCGCGTTGTAGTTCGTCGACGAATGTGTAAATGATAGGTCGCCAGCTTAGTCAAACGCTGTCATCTTCGAAAGAAGCGTTGCCAGTTACGCCAGTGTCTAATGTCTCACAAGGACCGAGTAGGAGAAGCCCTTGCGCTGCAACCCATCACACCTATCACAGCAGGGGTTCGGACATGTACAGGCTCACCTGCCGCTAGTTGCACGACCCCGTTTTTGATCCTCCATGCGGGACAGCAGGGGTTGCACCATGTGTCGTAGGGAGGGCAACGCACGCATGTCATGACTTGGACGTTCGGCACGAGAGACCCACCGTTTAACGTATTAGACCACTACACCTCCTCGTCTGATGCAGCCTCGAACGCGGCCTCGATTTGGATCCATTGTAGCACCATCTCTTGCAGGTCCATCTTCCATCTTTCCAGAACGTTGGCAGGACCATGTAATGGAGTTTTATCGCAACTAGCTATACTACCTTCACATATACCCGGATTCGCTAACCGACACGACGCTCGCTCGCCTCTACCGTAATACCTCCACATCGAGTGCGCAAACATGAGCACCGACACTGCTCTGTTACAAGATCCGAAAAACCATCCCGACAATGCGAACTTGCCAAACGTCAACGAACCTGCGACAATCCTCGGAGTCACTGTTTCCTTCCTGGTACGTGCGATGATTGAGAAGTAATCAACAAGACGTCATGTACTAAGTCTATCAGGCACTCGCCATCTTCACATTGAGCTTCCGATTATGGTTCCGCATCAAGGAACGCCTTTGGGGTTGGGATGATGTCTTTGTTGTTCTCGCTGCTACGGCGAGTTTCATCGGAGATATCATGGTTTGCATGAGTATGTTTGTCGAGATCCCACGAACAATACGGTTGACTAATCAATTATAGTGCCCGAGGATGGTCTTGGGCTGCATTTGTGGACACTTGATGCTGAACATCTAACGGCATATTTCAAGGTACTTCGTTTCGACATAACACTGACTAACCAGGCTAACTTTGGCTTCAGCACATCTATGCGACAAATGCTGCGTACACCGCAAGTACAACCCTGATCAAACTCTCCATCCTCATACAATATCTGCGACTCTTTGCCGAAGCCGCACCCTCCACGACTACCGCTCAATATCGACTCGCACGCCGTATCACCTGGGGCATGATATTGATATGCTCACTCTGGGGGTTGACTTTCTTCATGCTCGCGCTTTTCCCATGCAACCCCGTACGCAAGAACTGGAACCCAACATTACAGGGCACATGCATTGGATGGGGCAGCAAAGACCCTGCCGACTTTTTCCACATGTTCTTGGGCCATGCTGTCAGTAATTGCTTACTGGATATTTTGGTTCTTCTAGTACCTCTGCCTTTCGTAACCACGCTAAGAATTGCGGGTAAAAGCCGAGCAGGCTTGGTCGGTCTGTTCAGCTTGGGCTGTGTGTAAGTGGATAATGAGCTTCCAAGAAAGCCTCATACTGACAATCACCAGTGTCGTCATCGTAGCTGTCGGTCGCATGATCGCTATGTCTGTTAACAAAGCTGGTACCAAGCCGATCCTCGACATGTCCTTCCATACACCCATCGTCTATATCTTCGCCGTTCTCGAAGTCAACTTCGCTATCATCACAGCCTCCATACCCATATTCTGGCCCGCCATAGCAACACTTGCATCAAACAAGATCTTCGTCGTCAATGAAGTACAGATCCACGTCGAACATGTCACCAGAAACGATAGCTTCGACTCCAGCGGCGGCATCAGCCTCAGCGACCGAAAGATACAGTCGTCAGGTGGGGATAGCAAGATGGGCGTTGTTACCACGATATCCGATCGAGCACCACCTCGAAAGTCGGGCGAGAAGTCATCCATTCACCATCATCACAAACCAAGCACCGCTTCATCCGTCGGTCCAACCACTGGCTTTGGAGGAAGCCGAAAACCAAGCACCGCCTCATCCGTAGGCCGAACAATGGGCATGGACTTTGCTGGCCGCCCCAGCCAAGAATCATCACGCCACCTATACCGCATTCCGAGCAACGAGAACAGGAGTTCAAAAAGCCTGACGCAGAGCGAGGGCGACGACTGGTTCATGGAGATGGACAGGGCGAATTCACGCGGCCAGGTGACGACAACGGTCGAGAAGTCCTCAGTTCCGTTCGAGCACCTCAAGGCCTCGGACAAAAAATAAAAAGCCAGCTTGCTTGAAGCGGAGATGGGGTGGGAAGGATTGAGTACATGTCTTTGGTAATGTCTTTCGCGTGATACCCTGCAGCAATGCAATATGCAACATATCTATTTCCTGTACGCAGCACATACAATAGATGAGTATGTAGTAATGTAGTCATCTAATTCATTCTTTCACGATTCACACATTGGGCACCTTTGTCCAACTTGCTCACGTGGATCGTTCGGGCTTGTTATACACTCCCAAGACGCCGCGGACCGCAACGTTGGTTATCGGTCCGAACTGGAAACACGATGGAGTCGATGGATACTGTGTACTGATTCAATCACCGATGGTTCCCCCGCAGAGATGCCGTGTTGGATCTCAATTGAATCGCGCACGGTGCTGTTGTTCGTGTTCGTCCTGCTCCCCGCTTGTCGCGCTTTCTCCGTTGTATGAGCGTTGGGGTTTTGGGTCGGAGGGAGGGTTGTCTGCTCTGCCAAGGGGTGGTTCTCGACCATTCATGATTACCAGCCACCTACATTGGCGAGAAGTTAGGAAAAGTATGTAAGACTGTGGCCCCGCTTGCGTAAAGTTTGGCTTTACGTCCACAACTCTTATCTCCACGTGGGAAGCAGCACATGGTTACATGGCTGGTATATCTACTGCGCAGTCTGCTTGTCGAATACAAACACGCCTGGGCGGTAAGATACTGCACATTCGATTTCGACGCTAAGGTAAACTCTCGGGTTGCTGTCCCGATCGAATGTCGTACTTTAGATCGCGTGCTCTCATGCCACTTCGACGGCAGCTGCAGGATAAGCTCTGCGCGGCGTCAGCGGCGCCAGGGTTGCTAACCTATTTGGGCGACGCGCTGAGGCTTCGGACGCCTGAACAAAGCATGGCAAAGCTTGAGGCTGGACGCAACTTCCCCTTCAATATCCACGAGGAACTTTGGGTTTGACAACCGCTGAGTACCGCAGTTTCCTGTGAGCGGCAATAGAACTTAATACCGAACGCTACAGCATTCCAGAAGGCGAAGGACGCGTAACCTTGGATAGAGTTGTAGCCCCAACGGCTGTCTTGCTCGGTACCCAGTTATTCCCGGCGGAAATGTGCACCTGCTTTATGGAGTAACAGCCGCGTCGTGGGCCTCCAAATCCTACGCCACAAGTACTGGGAAAAGCTTTCTTCCATTGTGAGTGGTCTGATGAGTGCGACAGGACAGCACCAAACCCGATGCGGGTTCGAGTGAGGGTGATCACAGGGTCTTTTGCAGTGAGTGCCACAACAGCCGTACCAGGGTTGCAAGCAAGCTCCAGCTCAAGTGAGAGCCGTTAAAGTTTGAGCGGTCCGCCTACGAAAGCTTATCTTCTACTCCAACGACGCTCTTGCTATCCTACTACGCTGGCAATCGTGACGCGACACCCTGCTTGATCGCATTCGCATTCTGGTTAAGCCCCACGCGACACTACAATGGCTTCCGCTGCGGAAACCCAACCAGGCCTGTACAATGCGACTGACGCGAAAGGCGACATCGAACGTAGAGGCAGCGTCGCAAAGACAGAGAAAGGAAGGTGGGAAAGATTATGGCCCGTCATCGCATGCGGCGCGGGTCTTTTCAGCGATGGCTACCTCAATAATGTACGCAGAACTCGATTCCAAGAAGCGACACCCAGACAATTCCCTATGCGACAACTACAATCCCCATCCCAAAGCGCCACCAAAATATCCGAGTCGAGATTTGTACTGCGAGGATGCAAATGCTGATACAGGAATTGTTAGATTATCGGTCCAGTCAATACGATGCTTAAAACTATCTACCCAGACTCGTATGCGAACTCGTCCGCTCAAGCAAACGTCTCGAGTATTACTTTTGCGGGCACGGTCGTTGGCATGCTCTTCTTCGGGTATACTTCTGATCACTTTTCGCGGAAATGGTCGCTATTCACGTCAACCATTATTATCATCCTTTTTGCCATATTGGGTACGGCGTCATACGGAGCTGGAGGTAGTCCAAGTGGACTGTTGACGGCGCTCGTTGTCTACCGTTTCTTCCTCGGAATAGGTAAGTGGAATTGCATTCGTTTCTTCTCGATCAACATACTGACTTGCGACAGGTATCGGCGGAGAGTACCCAGCAGGCAGCGTCGGCTGCGCAGAATCCACCGGCGAACTCAAGCAAGGAACGCGAAACAAGTGGTTCATCCTCTTCACCAACGTGCAGATCGACCTAGCGTTCTTCATCAGCGCCATCGTCGCGACCGTCGTTGTCCTCGCTACTGGCGAAGACCATCTACGAGCCGCTTGGCGTATCTGCCTAGGTATCGGAATCATCCCACCTCTTTCGCTGCTATACCTCCGATTGAAGCTACAAGAGCCCGAAGCATTCAAGCGAGAGTCGCTGGCCAAGGCGAAGACGCCATGGCTGCTTATCATCAAGTACTACTGGTTCCGCCTCAGTATCGTCAGCATCATTTGGTTCATCTACGACTTCAGCGCGTACTCATTCGGTATTTATGCGACGTCTATCTTGGCCAATCTGCTAGGCGAGTCGGCACCGCTGTGGAAGAGTCTGGCATGGAACATCCTCATCAATTTCTTCTACATGCCTGGTTGCCTTGCTGGTGCTTTTGTCGCAGATCTACCTTCCATGGGGCCCAAGAAGACGCTGTTCATCGGTGTGACTTTACAGGGTATTATCGGGTTCATCATGGCTGGATGCTATCCGTGGTTGAACAAGCCTGAGAACGTTGCCGGCTTCGTCGTGGTGTATGGTGTTTTCCTTGCGCTGGGCGAGTTCGGACCGGGCGATAATATTGGTTTGGTTGCCTCCAAGACGTGCGCAACGGGTATACGGTATGTCACTTCATCGCATCTCTAAAGCTCCAGTTTCTAACTTCTAGACAGAGGACAGTACTACGGTATTGCAGCCGCTGTAGGCAAGATCGGTGCCTTTGCCGGCTCTTACGCTCTGGACGCACTTCAGAAAGCTGCAGGCGATGATGAAATCGCTGCGGGTCGCAACCCCTTCTTCGTGGCTTCTACTCTTGCCTTCGTAGCTGCGGGGCTGGTGTTGCTCCTTCCTCATATCGGCCAGGACACAATCGATCAGGAGGATATACGGTTCAGGGAGTACCTGACAGCGAATGGATATGATACTAGCAGCATGGGCTTGAAGAGTGCGGATGCAACGGGCACTGAGAGCGACGACAACGGCGTTGTGCCGGTTGAGCAGACATATGGGAAATAAGGTAGGTTCGGCGCGAAGAGGAGACAGTCGATGACAACGACAGCTTTAGGTGTAAAAAAACTATTTCCATACGAATGCATCTTCGCTAAAAACCACCATCTCAAGATCACTACCGCCCTTTGCCAACGACCTGTATGCACACTCAAGATTGGGACAGCTCTACGTAGGTAGAGCCGTAAGTGCTAGCACGTGCTAGAACTACACGCTAGAAACCCTTCGGCCTAGCGCATTCTCACACTACCGAGGCTATCTGCAAAGCCGGAGAACCTGGAAACTATTACAACCCACGTCACTAGCAGCTCCCCACCATGCACGACAGACGACAGATATACCATATCCCAGCCCACTTGATCCTCCCTGTGCCGTCTTAAACTGGGCATCGCGCGTAATACCATTATACAACGGATACATGGACGAGCACATCTCACGTGCAATTGCGCACACATACCTAGTACCTCGGATCACTGTTCAACCAAAGCAGGTTTAGACACCTAGGTAAAGACATACCGAGCCTCTTCGGTAATATGGAACTAGATGGCCTGAGAGTGGAACAAGCCGTGGTATCCCCACACGAAGGAAGAGACTGCGTCTTCATGTGGACCCTAGTAGGCCTGAATGCGTGTAGTTGAGCCCATCGTCCGGGCACTCTGATTCGAAGAGGAAACAATACTAAAGACCAGCGAGAGACCTTTAATTGACTGACTGCAAAAGCAAACAGTGACCTAACATCCTCACCTCATACACACAGACCCGTCATTCCAAACCTCGAATCCAGTTCACCCACCATGTCTCCCGCAGCCGTAACCTCGACCCCTCCTCCAAGCGCAAACCCCCACACAAACGGGAAACCATCTACCAAACCCGTCATCACCCCTTCTTCGACGGTCACCTCTCAAATCCCCGCGTGGGTCCAACCCGACCTCACCCGTCTCCTCCGTGTAGAGCACAACCCAGGCTCCTTCACCTCGCGCTCCGTCTCCCTCGTCAACCTGCCCCCCGGCGCAGTCTTCGCGCGCATCACAAACCCCACACCAGCAACGGTAGCCTACTCGTCCGTCCAAGCTTCGCGCGACCTACACATCGAGCTGAACTGCGACCTCGTCTATATAAACCACAGTTGCAAGCCTAGCCTGGTGTTTGATATGCAGCGCTGGGAAGTGAGGGTGTCTGAGCAGGGAGAGGGTCTTAAGGAGGGGGACGAGTTGACGTTCTTTTATCCGAGTACCGAGTGGAGTATGGCTCAGCCTTTTGAGTGCTTGTGTAAGACGGAGGTGTGTGCGGGGGAGATTAAGGGTGCGAAGGATATGAGCAGGGAGGTTTTGGGCAGGTATTGGTTGAATAAGCATATTGAGGAGATGCTTGCTGAGAGGGATGGGCAGTAGGGTGGCTGTTGATGGGAATGATGGTTGTAACAAGAGGTGTAGAAGTAGAGCGTGAAGGCGTTGAGTGGAACGTGGGTGTTGGTGGTAGTGGTTGAACTATTCAGCATGAGCAAGGAAATAAGAACAAGAGTACTATGATCATAGCTATGAGATCTTCATACCCTCAATACCCGTCTGACATTCTCCTGGGTAACTTCCATGAACCCCAGTCCGAAAATCTTCCTATCTGATATATGTCCCTGCCAGGCCTTCCCTCCCCCCTTCCTAGCCTTAACATGATACATTACTCCCCCAGTTTCAGTCATGAGTGCCTCGAAACCGATAGTATTTTCGCACTCCTTGCTGCTACCATAGCTGCCAGGCGCGAGATATGTTATCAGCACGTCTGGCCCCTGTGGCACATAAAGAAACGGATGAGAAGAGAATTGATCTGCGAGGTGGGATAACACTGCTTTGGCGGTTGAGAATGCGGTACAGAGACAGAGGGTGCGGAGGGTGTCATGTGACACTCTGTTCAAAGTGACGACCCAGACTGTAGGTGGGAGAAGGCTGAAGATTTCTTGCTTGGTGGTAGGAGAGATGGGGTCTTCGAGGTAGGGGCGTGGCCATGAGTCTACTGCCGTTGTATCCGCGTTCTTATCTTTCGGGCTGTCTCTGGTGGCTTTCCGCTCAAACGGATTCATCGACATCGACTTCCTGTCCAGTGATCCCTTTGGATCATCGTCTTCTCTTGGCCGTTCTGTGGTCAAGGTGGATACGAGCGTCAGCCATTCAAGATCTTCCTCTAAGCGTTGGATGCGGTCATCTTCCTGAGAACAGGGAGGCATGACTGAGATGGGTAACCAGGATATCGAGTTTGTAGATGGCGGTGCTGCTAGGACAGGCGGGCCGTCTGGGCTTTGGCAGAAAAAGTGGATGTGGATGAGGGAGCGGAATATTACTTGAAACCGTGGCTGGGTGACTGATGGCGAATTGCAAAGACTATACCAACACCAGACATGATCTTATGCTTGCATGCCGCCCAGATGACCACCTAAGCAAGTACAGCAGACTCCGCAACCGCCTGATTGATAACAGGACGTCACAAGATCATCTGTGAGCACTCTCCGGATGCGGCAAATCGACCTATCCCTTCATTAGCCTCACCATCTCCACCACCCCTTCCCATCACATCAACATACCTCACTATACCTCCCCTGATAAGCCGTCGGCCTCCGATCATCCATCTCGACACTCCACACCTCGCCCTCATCCTCATCCTCCAACTTGCGATACCTCCCCTTCCTGCCCGGCAGAAAATTCAAGCTCTTTTCCGCATCCATCTTGGCCGCTCTCTTCTTCCGGTCGCGCTTGTTCTTGCAGATGACGAGCGTGATGATGAGGCAGAACATGCCGACGGTAGCGAGGACGGAGAGGATGATGACGACGATGAAACCGCGTTTTTCGCCTGGGTTTTGGAAGATGGAGGAGTTGGTGTCTCGGGGGTGGAGAGGGGCGAGAGACATGATGCGTGGGTAGTGTGGCGTGGTTGGTGTGAGGATATCTAGGTAGGACGGGATGGGATGGGGTTATGCGGTTGGTGTGTTGCAAGGTTGTGGTGTGATATGGTCGCTACGAAAAGAGGAACTGGAATACTAGATCGACGACAGAGGAAGTCGCAATCCACCATATAAACACCCATCACCTCGCCGAAAGCACCGCCTACACAGCCGCCTCCTCCCTCCACCGCCTTGGTGGCCTCACCCTCTTCATGATCCCCCTCCAGGATGGCACTCCTCCCACGCTCCACCCGCACCGCCTTAAAATAGCGACGTGCGCAACATCTCCTGCCAATCGCAATAGTTCAAGGTACGCATCGTTCAGGCGTGACGTGGCCGAGTGCGTTGCTGCGTTCCGTCGTAAATTGGAATGTGCAAATGAGCACCGAATTGTTGATGATTTCGTTTTCGACTCATCGTTGTGTGAGTTGTGCGGCACAGCCGCGTGCCGGGGCAATGAATCGTTAGGTTATAGGGGGCCTTGAACGCTCAGATCGTCGTGCGTGAGACGAGACGAGATGAGATGTGGGGGGCCTGGAGTCATTGTCAGCCTCGCTGAATCAGTGGCCATCTTGTGTATTGGAATTTTGACGACTACATGATGGAAGCCGGTGACGCTTATATACTGTCTGATGGTCTCGAAAAGAAGACGTTAAACGCGATGGATAGATGAAAGGTTTGAGAATGATTTGCATCGAATTCTATGTACTAAACCGAATAACCATGATCAACGCCAGGAAATGCACAAGACCATGCTATGTACGACAACGAAATCATTTTTCATAACCCCCCTTCCCACCTAAATACCCTCATTACACGTATGCTCAATAAAAAAACGCGGCCGAAGCCCCTGCACAACACCTACACCTCTCACCATCCCCATCTACATCCTCCTATAATTCTCCGCCAACCCCTCAAACTGATCCAGCCCCTCAACCCCATTACCAGGACAACTCCAATCGCGCTCATACGCTTTGTCCGGCAGAATCCCCGCCTCGCGCCCACGCCTATAACTCCACTGCGTACTGCTTTCCGTCTCCCACGTCCAGTAGAACCAGCCCCATCCAGCTTCAAACGCATCCATCTGGCCAATCGCAAACTGGTACAGCCACTTCTTGTACTGATCGCTGTAGTTCTTCGGGTCGGCATTGGCCTGGTCGCAGGAGCACTGCGACGATTCCAGCGGACACTGCGGCTTGAGGACGGCACCGGATTTACCGTCTTGCGCTTGTAGAGTACCTTCCCAGCGTGTGCCTGTGTTGACGTTGTTGATGTATTGCGTGCAATCTGTGTCCGCCTGGGACCATTCTCCGCACATGGTAGGTCCGAAACCGGTTTTCTTGTCCATGGAGCGCTTGCTTTGTTGGGTCCAGGCTTCGCAGGCGAAGTTGAGCTTGTCGCGGTGCTCAAGTTTGATTTGGTCGGTGTTGAAGATGACGTATTGGTGCACGTCGAGGAGAAGGTTATCGTTGCCTTGCAGCTTGCCTTGCCAGTTGTCGAGGCCCATGAAGCCGTCGCCGAAGACGATGATGCCTTCGATGCCGTCGGCGCGGATTTGGTCGATGGCTTTTTGTGTCCAGGCGACTACTTTTTCGGTGTCGAGTTCGACGTTGCGGGGTTCGTTGACGAGGCCGTACATGGTGACTACGTTCTTGTAGCGATCTTGGGCGAAAAAGACGGAGAGCTTGTGGTGGACGTCTAGTGTGCGTTGCCCGTTCTTGTCGCCGTCTGTGCCGTTCAGCCAGTTGATTTGGCCTTGACGACCAGAGTGGTTCCAGCCGTTTTGACTACCTGGCGCGCCGTGGAGATCAAGGTTGACGCGGAGCCCGTTTTGTCGACAGTACTCAATACCGCGGAGAAGGTAGCGCCATGCTACTTGCGGTACGTAAACGTCGTCGTCGTATGTCTGCACGATCCAGTAGCCGAATGGGAAGCGAACGTGATCCATACCAGCCTCCCTGATCTCCTGGAAAGTCTTCTTATTGATGAATGTAGAGTAGTGCTTCTCCATAGTGTCTTTCGCCTTTGCAGGTCCGAGCTTGCTCAGGAACGTCCATTCGTCGACTACGTTGTCTTTGGA